ATAATTGTCACACTTGCTTTTAGCAAATCAAGTAGCATGTTTAAGCAACTCCTGTCATGAGCGGTTAAGAGGAGAAGATTTTGAAAAAAACAATAACATTTTTCAATATTTTATTTTATTTTTTGCTTTTATTATTTTTAAAAATATATAGAATATTAATTAATATAAATACTAAGTATATTTTATATATTTTTAAGATATTAAAAAATTAAAAAACTCATTATAATTATAATTGTAAATTGATATTGTCAAACTAAATTTAAATTAAGTAAAATGTAACAAACTCACTAATCAAATCTATTCATTACATACTTCAAACTTTAAAGCGAGCTTAATTAATAAACATCTTTTTTCTATTAGGAAATTATTTTATTTTAAGAGTACATGAAATATCAAAATCCAAATTACAATTCTTAACTTACACCTTATTTGTATATAACTCAATCAAAACAATTTTAAAGTATTATTTTTCTCATTAAACATTTAAACCTCCCAGTAATGATAATTCCAACCATTCCTTGAAGCATGGATAATGCCTGTTTTGGATTGAGTTTCCACAATATCTGGCTAGTAATTCACCTTCAATAGCGCTGGATATGGTCCAAAGACGATATTTGATGGTCAATTTTTGAAAGAATAGTGTGTCTTCGATTAAGGAGTAGAATTGTAGAAGTAAGGGGCTTCAGTCGAGCCTTGGAACAATTCCAGTAAGCTTTTCAAGCCCAAATTTACACTCCCAAACTAATTTTTCTTTTTTTGAGAATACACTTGAAATTAGAGGAGAGAGAATCTGGTAGTAGAAATAATAAAAATAAATAAGGAGATAAAGAAATTAACGGTATAAATAGTTCAATAGTAATATTTTTTTTATTGAAAGTAAAAGTTTTTAAATTCAAATCGTATGACATACGAATAAGATGAAATAATAGATGAAAAATATTGATCTTAATTATGCATCTAACATAAAAAAAAAATTAGGAAAGTCATTATTTTTAATTGATTAAAATATAATAAAAAAATAAAAAACAATAAAAATATACTCTAGCAAAATGATGTTAGCATGGCACTGTCACGTCATTTTATCCTGCAATTCATCCTCCATCAATCGTCCCGTGAATCATCACCCTTTCCATAGAGTGTCAATATCAACCCATTAATCATGGTTTGTCAAATTCGTTTCCTTAATTACGAAAATAATAGCCCATGACGGAGATGTAAAGAGTAGGACCACAGGAGCATGAGAAGAGAGGAGACGTTAATTAATTGCTCAATATATCTAGACTAGAAAACAGACGTCAACTTGCAACATGAATATTAGAAACAAGGAGGTGGTAGCTGATAAATTAAACACATCTTTATTTTTACAAAATCTTAAGTGACAATTATTATAATTGAATTTTAATTTTAAAATTATTTTTTATTTTAATTTTTTATTTTATTTTTATTTAAGTCTTATTATTTTTATTTTTTAGAATTATATAAATAATAATAATAAATGACTTCTAAATTTTTAATTTAAAAATATTTATTATTTTAGAATAAAGAGAGTACTATTTTAAAGTTTTGTTATATGTAAATTATA